GCCCCATTGGATAGGGCCTCCGCCTCCATTCGACCAGCTTTAGGCGCCATCTGTCCATCTAGGGGCGCCGCCTGATTGGCTGGTGGTGCTTCCCGATTGGACGGGGGTGTCCGGCGCCATTCGACCAACCGGTGGCGCCGCCCATCAAGCTGTGAGTTTCGGCGCCATCCGACCAGCTAGGGGCGCCATCCTTAAAGCCGGTGGCGCCGCCTGATTGGACGGGACCTCCGCCTCCATTCGACCAGCTTCGGGCGCCATTCGACTAGCCGGTGGTCTCTAGCGCCCGTCCATCTAGCGGCGCCATCTGTCCAGCTGTGAGTTTCGGCTCCATTCGTCAAGCTTTGGGCGCCATTTGACCATCTGTGGCCCGTCCAGCCGTGGGCGCCATTAGTCCAGGCGTTGGGTTAGGGTGGGTTAGGGTTAAGGTTAGGGTTAGGGTGGGTTAGGGTTAAGGTTAGGGCTCCAGGACGCGCTCGCCCGGGCGCAGAACGCCGAGCGGCTTCTGGGCGCCGCCCTCCGCCGTCACCAGGGCGTTGCCGGGGAAACAGCCGCCAGACTGTGCTGCCACCGAGTGGTCTGAGGAGGAGAGGACACGTTTATTTATTCTCTTTGTTTTAAAAGTCTAATTTAGACAAAAAACGACAAAAAAAACTACTTTAAAATAGTTTACGTTTTAATAACAAAATGTCTGATGTTTTCCATAAAAACACACAATGTTACACACTTCCTGGATTCAACTCCCAGGAGTCTGAAGTCTGAACTGAAGTTTCAGTTTCAGTTTCAGTTTTTACTGCTGTTTTTACAGTCTTTTGTGTTTGGTTAATCTGTTGTTGTGTTGCCATTGTTCAAGATGTTGAGTTTTATCAGGGTTTCATGCTTTTACTTTGGAAACTAAAGTGCTCGGAGACACTTTAAATGTGTCCACTTTCCTTTGACTCAAAGTGGACTGAACAATAAAGGCTGCTGTCCGCCGTCCTCCTGAACTCTCAGGTTCCTCCTGAACTTTTCAGGTTTCTCCTGAACTTTCAGGTTCCTCCTGAACTTTTCTGGTTTCTCCTGAACTTTTCTGGTTTCTCCTGAACTTTTCTGGTTCCTCCTGAACTCTCCGGTTCCTGAACACCATCCAACCAGAAATCTCACAGATTTTTGGGAGAACTTATATGAAGGGCATCAGGGACCACAAATGTGGAGAAAAATATTAAAAACTTGAGTTTTAACTTGTGGTCCTGGCTTCTAGGGGGGATTTTCCCTTTGTAAAAAAAACTACCAACCCATTCAAAGCCATTACATTTTTGCTTATGATGCCATAAGAAAGTTTAGTTTAGAGGTTCTACATCATTCAGAACCTTATTCCACTTTTTGCCATCTGATAAAAATTAAAGTTGTCAAACAAAATCTCATACAGGCGCTTAAAATGCACCATTCTGAGACGGTTTTAGAGATATTACCTTCCTAACTGCTCCTGGACGGCCACTGAGCGGATAACTGGTTCCCGGCGCTCTGCTGCCCCCTAGTGGTCGCCCCCTCTACTGTCTGGCCATTTGGGAGGGGTTTGATGAAGAGTTTGTGGATTCAGGGCTCAGGATTTACATCCCCAAAGAGCCTTTCCTTTTCCTCACGTGTCTCGTTTAGTTTTAAAGGAAAAATAGAGGTATAAAAAAAGGGAGAAATCATCAAAAATAAGGAAAAAAATACCAACTTGATTGGTTTCCCTTCGGATCAAGTCAAGGACTGGGCCCTGGCAGCCCGATCTGGGGGGGAAGAGACAGGGGAAAGGAGAGGAAAACAGGAGGACAGAAGAGGGAAATCTGGGTTACCACTCTGAGAAATGTTTCATTCTGATGCATTTTAGCAGCCGGCCGAGACTTTCCAGCTCTGGGTGACACCTGCCTGCTACTTTTAAAGCTCCCTGCTCACTTTCCAACAGCTATGTGGCACCAGGACGATAATAATGACCCCCCCGAGCCCCCAAAAGCTGCCCTCTCAGTCCAGGAGTCCATCAGGCCTCTATCTGAATTATCTAAAGTCCCATTACAGTACCATTATTGACCCAAGGGGCCAAATCTGGCCCGCTTTGTTATCATATTTGGCCCACGAGACAATACCAAATTACTACTAAAAATGGATTTAGATATTTAATTCAGAAGGCTGTGAATAGAAAATGTTTTAAATCTTATAAGTTTTAAAACTGTGTCCCAGGAATTTATCCAAAGGAACTTAATTGATGGAATACGGACTTCTTAAAGCCCCAGAGAGAGAAAAAAAAACATCAGCCGTCCCACGGACGACCTTTGACCCCGCCTGGGCCGGATAGATGGATCCATAGATAGATAGATAGATAGATAGATAGATAGATAGATAGATAGATAGATAGA